ATTGACAGATTTCTGTACTGCAGGCTTTGGTTGTATGAGACTAAACTACAATACATTACTTTTTACCTTGATTTGTTTCTATCCTTTTCGTATTAGTATTAGTATTACCGTATTTTTTTTAGCCCATAAGGCGCACCGCATTATAAGGCGCACTATCAATGAACGGGAATATTTTCATATATAAGGCGCACCGGGTTATAAGGCGCATTAAGCGAAACAACTAAGCGGAACAATCAAGCATGTCGGGTTCCGTATCGTCATTATCAGTCTGCTGTTAATTAGCTGTTCTGTGATGATTGCGATCTTTGTGAAAGCTCGGACGACATTTGAGACTGATACCTTAGCCCAGGCATCCACGATCCATTAGCAGATTGTGGCGTAACTCGCCCGGCGTTGCCTCCCTGTGTTGGTGAATGTGTGTTCGCCTCCTGTCATCTAATGCTTCCACGCAGCTCGCAATTTAACTTTAAACGCCCTGTTAACACCAATATTTAGGTAGTAGTGTAGGTGAAGTATTTTGGAATTCCGTGGTTAATCCACCCGGGATGATGCCAAGCCCCGAATTAGTTTGGTTCACTTGGGTTTTGACAATATCGGTGAGATGGGCGCGCATGGAGTCGTAGATCATAAGGGACGGAAATTTGTGGAAAGCAGTAGTGACCTAAGTTGGACACTGGAGGACGCTGTTGTTGTTGTTCGCCCCTCCAGAGCCAGGCGGTTGTCAGTATTTTTGTTCTGAATGGTCACCGTATAGTTGTTTTGACGCTGTTCCGTGCGGATGTTGTTTTGCAGAGAGAGTGTGTTTTCCCGTATTGATAAAAAAGGAGAAATAAAAAGATTTTCTGACCACTATAAAATCTACAGCAATGCGTCTGAGTCGCCCTATATCGCACCAAACATCGACAATACAAAAACACAACTCAGAGTCTCCGGGTGTTTGGAGGCACGGTGCGACGTTGCACGGATTTGGGTTAACCACCATACTGTAATAATAGTTGTTGAGCATCTTCTTATTGTGATAAGAGAGTTAAAGTTTAACTGTTGAACGTCGTTGTTGGCCCCCGGTGTGTTTCAGTTGTGTGGTTTGGCTTTATAAAATAGGTTCGAGCTCAGCGCAACCATAAGTAATACATAAGGCGCACCGGGTTATAAGGCGAACTGTTGATTTTTGAGAAAATCAAAGGCTTCTAAGTGCGCCTTATATAGCGGAAAATACGGTACTTCTTTGGCTGTAACTGAGAGGACATGGACAACGTGACCAAGTGAGGGCAATAATGCAACAGTAAGATGACAACTGATATCAAGAGTTCTTTTAAACAGTCAGATCTTTCAAACAATTTTTTCCAAATACAACAGAAATTTCATAAATAACAAAAAAAAAAAAAAAATCAAAGTGTGTGTGTGTGTGTGTGTGTCTGAGTGTGTCAGTGTGGATTATTAATCTGATGATCCTGACCAGCAGACCACATTCACAGACTTAATGTGAAGCCCGGATTTTTTAATCTGTCTGGAGGAACCCTGCCCCCAAAAACACTCTGAGAGTCTCTCTCACACGCACACACACACAAACGCGTGCACACTCCAACACTCACACTTTCCCAGCAGCCACATTAATAAAAACACACGTCAATGTAATTCTTTATCTTTCATTTCAGATTGTGAACAAAGACACAGTAATCCTGAGCATAATCTGACACAACCTGTTCAGATTATGATCATAATCTCTGGCTGCTGCCATATCAACACCCTCCATGTAACCAAAGTAACAACCACTGCTATTAACCAAAACTCAGTGACATCAACAAACGTCACAAAAAAATCATGTTAGATGAAAATGATCTAGATTGTCATGTACTGATTGTCGTTTTTCAGGTAAGTCTGAAAAAACAGTATAAACCAATAAGAAAAGCAACAGTGGCACAGCTACAGATGCTGAAGCTAGCAATTTGTTTTTCCTGTTTTATGTTTTTAATTTAATTGTAAGCTTTTTAAATAAAAACAGTAGTATTGCAGGTTTTACTGTTGGACAAATCAACTGCGACACCTGGTGGTGATGTCCTTTAAAGGACATCACCACCAGGTGTCGCAGTTGATTTGTCCAACAGTAAAACCTGCAATACTACTGTTTTTATTTAAAAAGCTTACAATTAAATTAAAAACATAAAACAGGAAAAACAAATTGCTAGCTTCAGCATCTGTAGCTGTGCCACTGTTGCTTTTCTTATTGGTTTATACTGTTTTTTCAGACTTACCTGAAAAACGACAATCAGTACATGACAATCTAGATCATTTTCATCTAACATGATTTTTTTGTGACGTTTGTTGATGTCACTGAGTTTTGGTTAATAGCAGTGGTTGTTACTTTGGTTACATGGAGGGTGTTGATATGGCAGCAGCCAGAGATTATGATCATAATCTGAACAGGTTGTGTCAGATTATGCTCAGGATTACTGTGTCTTTGTTCACAATCTGAAATGAAAGATAAAGAATTACATTGACGTGTGTTTTTATTAATGTGGCTGCTGGGAAAGTGTGAGTGTTGGAGTGTGCACGCGTTTGTGTGTGTGTGCGTGTGAGAGAGACTCTCAGAGTGTTTTTGGGGGCAGGGTTCCTCCAGACAGATTAAAAAATCCGGGCTTCACATTAAGTCTGTGAATGTGGTCTGCTGGTCAGGATCATCAGATTAATAATCCACACTGACACACTCAGACACACACACACACACACACACTTTGATTTTTTTTTTTTTTTTGTTATTTATGAAATTTCTGTTGTATTTGGAAAAAATTGTTTGAAAGATCTGACTGTTTAAAAGAACTCTTGATATCAGTTGTCATCTTACTGTTGCATTATTGCCCTCACTTGGTCACGTTGTCCATGTCCTCTCAGTTACAGCCAAAGAAGTACCGTATTTTCCGCTATATAAGGCGCACTTAGAAGCCTTTGATTTTCTCAAAAATCAACAGTTCGCCTTATAACCCGGTGCGCCTTATGTATTACTTATGGTTGCGCTGAGCTCGAACCTATTTTATAAAGCCAAACCACACAACTGAAACACACCGGGGGCCAACAACGACGTTCAACAGTTAAACTTTAACTCTCTTATCACAATAAGAAGATGCTCAACAACTATTATTACAGTATGGTGGTTAACCCAAATCCGTGCAACGTCGCACCGTGCCTCCAAACACCCGGAGACTCTGAGTTGTGTTTTTGTATTGTCGATGTTTGGTGCGATATAGGGCGACTCAGACGCATTGCTGTAGATTTT